AGAACAACATATATGCATGAATTTTATATTGGATCTACTGAGCAACATCTTGACCATGAAGAACATTAATCATCGTTTACTCATCCTGCTCTTGTTCCAAACCCATCATAGTTTCTTTCTTCTGTTCAACACAAAGGAAGACTCCATTCACTTCCATAGTATTTGTTGTTGTTGTTCTTTGTCAATGACTGCCTTTAACCAAAATCCTACAGAATGGGATGTGTTGTGTTCAACATAAGGAGAAATTCATAAAAGTCTAAAACTACTTAAGTGTGAGTAAATGCTGAGGAAAATTTGATTTTAGATGAACTATTTCTTTAAAAGGCAGACTTGATTAGGCTAAAATTTATTTGGAAATTCAAGGGAAGTTCTGGATGAATGTTTCATTGGTTGATTTGAGCTTTTTGGAAACATGAGAGTAGAAATACAGTATATCTTGTTATAAAGATGCTTTGTTGCTGCATGAAGTTGAAATCTTTACCTATTAAGAACTTCATGGATTATTTGAAATAACAAGCCACTTTCACTAAGATTGTGATATGGTGCTGAAGCTTGATTGTCTGTAGACTTTGCATCAACCCACTGTAATGAATACATCCAACCTTGGTTTAGAGATCATAATGTTTCTGAGTGTCCTGTTCGATGTCCAGCAGTAAATGTCATTTCAAATATAAAGTAATCATATGAAAACCAAAGTTTATCAGCCCACAGGATGCTTTTCAGGAGAGATGATGCTGAAGTAAGCGCTTAGAGATACCATTTACAGTAGGACGCTATAAAGAATAAGTGATTTTATCCAAAGACTATATTTGCACATAAACATTTAAAGACAATCTCAAAATTTTTTACAGTTACTTTGTTTTTAGAAATTGTCAAAATGAACTGCATTCAAAGTATAGCTGCATTTTTTGCAGATCAAGGGGGATTAATACTTCAAATGCAACTGTATATACACTAAGTGACAAAAGATTTGTCACCTATATCCAAAATTTAGGGACAACAAATAATAACTTGACTTCTAGTTGATCATTTGGTATTAAAACAAAAGTGGTTTAAATGAAAGAAATAAAAAAAGCCTCTAGATTATGCTTATTTTACCAAAATAAAATTTGATCATGCCTTTATTTTTTATTTATTTAAATAGAACAGAAAGGTCTGACTTTGCTTAGACAAAAGTGTTGTCACTTAACAGAAATAATGTACAGTATAGAAAATAAAGTCATGGTTATAACTTATTAATAAAGTCATCTGGAATGGCAAAGAAAGCATTTCTCGCTGGACTTCCTCAAAATTCTTTGGATTCAACTTCAATGCCTCTTTTACATCTTAACCCAGACCTGCTCAATAATGTTCATGTCTGCTGAAGAATTTGCCCTCTTCTGTGGTTTGCAATGTAATGGGCAGCGCAAATGTCTTGATATCTACAGTAAGGCTGTTGAGGTTGCTATCCACTCTGCAGATCTCTCGCACACCCCCATACTGAATGTAACCCCAAACCATGATTTTTCCATCACCAAACTTGACTTATTTCTATAAGAATCTTGGGTTTATGCAGGTTCTATCTTAGGTCTTCTGCAGTACTTGTGATGTTTGGGATGCAATTCAACAGATGATTCATCAGAAAAATCTACCTTCTCTCACTGTTCCAATTGATTAACTAAGTCAAGTTATTACTTTTGCTCTTACAACTGGGATAGATGACAAGACCTTTTGTCAGGTAGTGTAAGTTTTATATAAACTGTATTTTGCATGCTGATGTGTAGTAGCAGCTAGCATACTCCAAATGCTGCTCTTGGTTTCACATTACAACATTAGTGTTCATAATGTACTGTAAAACTACCATGAAGACCATATATATATACTGACTAAACATTGTGTGAGAAATCAGAGAGAGATAAAAAAATTAATACATCTATTTAAGGGCTAGTTCACACAAAAGCAAAAAATTCCGCCAACATTTACTCTTCCTGGAATATTTACTTGCTCCAAAACTTGTTTCATTTTTCTGTTGAACACAAAGGAAGATTTGTCTTTGATTCCATATTATTTTTTGCCTGCATGGATGTCAAGGGCTGCTTTTTTCCCAACATTCTTCAGAATATCTTGTTTTGTGTTCAACTGAAGAAAGAAATTCATTAGTTTATAACAACTTGAGTGTGAGGAAATTTTTTGGGGGAACTGACCCTTTAATTCAACTAATCTCTATCAGGTCAGCAATTCAGGCCATTGCCTTTAATATGCAATTAAGATTTTAAAAAGTTTCAACGAGTTCTCATTCTTTAATAGTAATGTATTTACCTACAAGCTCATTCAATTTAATAGTTAAGATCTTAATGGGTAATCAGCCTTCCTTTAATAGTTAGACTTTAACAGATTAGGTCTACTCATCCTGCATAGCGATTGGGAAGGCAATAATCAAAAATAGTCCTAATAGAGACTATAAAGTTTATTGAAAAATAGTTAGCATGTGGACATTTTGTTAGTAATAAATTTGGATTTGGTTTGATTCATTTATTTCATACATAAAACAATTCTTTAAACAAAATACATTTTAACATGATTGAAATGGAGCGGGATGAAGCACAAGCCTATTATTTTCCCCAATGCTGTTCATCTCTAAGTAATTACCTTTAATTATACCAACACAACTGCATTTGTATTTTAAAAATAAATGACAACTAATTAATTGTAACTAGTTTGATTACCATTCAGTGCAATTGATCCTTAATGGTTAGTCAATGATCTATTAATCATACCTACACACTTTCATGCATTATGAATTTATGATACACATTTATAATGCATTTATAATACACACAACTGGACGACTTGTCATTTACACATTTTATTTGCATATTCTTTGTACAGTACACAACATCTGCCAATGTAAAAAAAGCACAAATCTACTTAATGAGATGAATAGGTTGTAAATTAATTGTAAATAATAAGTTGTAGCTATATAGTCAGAAATATTCAGATGTAATACAGCGCCAAAGCAATTTAAGATGTTTACAAAAAATATATATGTAGAAAACCTTAAAATAGAAATTACACAGGAGAAATAATCTAAATTTGAAACAAATATACCTCTACTGTACGCTAAGCTTAATGAAATATTTTTAAAAATCCTATATAAACATATGACATTCAAATGTGTATGTAATTCTCAAATCAATAATGATTTTGCATTACTGAGGGCGGTTATATAATCCCTCCATTGCTATTTAACAACATCTGTGCACATCTGATGATCTGGAATGGGATGCAGCTTTTTCTGTTGTCGTCAGTAAAAGTTCAGTCTCATGAATTTAACTGATGAAACGTGGTGTTTTTCTGAGACCTGTAAGGTAAATAATAGACAAATTGTAATTCTTTCAACAAAACAGGTAATCTGTACAGTTAGCCAATTCAACAATGGGTCTCATTCACTAAAGACTGCATACAAGTAGCGTACTTACTGGATATTCTCGCAGAAAAACAAGATCTTCCAGCATAGCCATGTGAGCCATTCACAACCAGTCGAAAATGATTCAAATGTTTTCGAGGTACCAGAACAAATCCTCTTTTAACCATAATAGGCTACTATTGAGATTTATTAACCGGACATAGTGAAATATTAGCAACAAAAATCTTTTTTGTGACTGACTTTATGAGGAAAAGTTTATATTATTTATACGAATGACTTTTCCCACTCAACATTTAAAGCAGGAGAGTATTTAGATTAATCACACGATGAGATTAACAAATGTTGGCATTTTGCAGTTTACTGGTGTTTACGCCATTATTAAATGGCATTTTTATTGTTAGTGCTTTATATACCCTGATTTTAATCACCTTCACTTATATACAATGCATCCCAAATGGGATATTTTGCATTACAATAGGCACTTCAGAATGTAAACAATCATGGCTGCCATTTCGAAGTGCTCAAAATTAGCCATTTCAAGGGTTTCTATAGTAATAAGACACTTTGGGGTTTAATGATCGGGGAAGTTTGGTGTCACACGCTTCATTCCAACTGGAAGGGCTCATCCCTTTAGAAGCGATCACTTTTGGAGGGCAAACCCATAGAAGGGATTAGGACATATAGGGAATGAGCACTTACAAATAAAATGAAGCGTGACACCAAACTTCTCTTCAAAATGGAAGGCAGTGACAGATTATGTTGGTTATTACAGTGTTTTCTGCATGCCAGGCTATTGGTTGTTTTGGTTGTCAAGTACACACACACACACTGACTGTTCACCCTACAGACTGAACAGAAAATATACATGTGCTTGACATCTTTATTTTCAGAAAATTACATTTTTTGTAGTTTACACAGAGACCATAACAGCATCATTTTCTAAAACCTGCACTTTCAAAACAACAAAATAATTTTTACGTTATTTTTTTAAACCTAAATATGGAGAAACCCAACCATTGGGTTAACTTTTAAATTATTTTATTTATATTTTTTTTACCCACGAATATGGGTTTGTTCATATTGACCATTGGACTAACAAGCCCCAAAAATGCCACTGTCATGTAAATGAATGGCCAAAATGTTTCATCGAAAATGTGGCTCAGAAACATACAAACCAAATCATTTTGTTACAATTTTTTATTATATTAAATAACATTTTTAAATGGTTGGGTATGGTTTTTAGAGTGTCTGTCCCAAAACACTGTTATTATGCAATGAAACAACCAAAATGATTTCAACATTTCCACTTTCTAGTTGAAGTTGGTTTAATCTAAACATCCCTGTAAATCTGACCCCTAGATTGACTTGTGATTGACTATGTTTTTAAAAACTGACATCTCGTCCACCATTTTACGAACGAACTGCTAAATGACTCTAAGAACAATAATAAATATAGAGAGCATTTCATCTGCAGTGAGTTTTATTTCACCTGTGGTTTCATTTGTTTCTATATATGCCTATAAAGTGTGTTCACACCAATAAACATGCAGTTAGTGAATGAGACCCAGTGTTACAAGATAACAAGTTGACTCACGTTAGCTCATCCATGCTTTGAAAGTCACCAGCACATTGAAAACGACTGTCTTCAGAAAGAGAATCCTCAGCCAGAAGATGCCCAGTGACAAGAAGTTGACTTTTTCATCTGGAGAATTAAGAAAAACAAACATTAGTACATCTCAACAGTTTACAGAGTTTTCTGAACAATCCAGCACTTTTTAATTTGTTTACAGGTGCACCCATTAGGCTATTTTAAAAATTGCTAATTGTTTTATTTTAACGGTTTACATCCATCTAATGTAAAAAAAAAAAAAAAAGTTATGTTTTTGAAACGTTTAACTGCTCTGATTGGTCAGACATCCAGTGTTTTGTTTGGTAAATCCCTTAAAATGTGTCAGAAACCAAACACTAATTACATATTTGCAATTACTAAAAATTATTTCTTCTAAAGTGCTTCTTTTGGGAAATATTAACTCAATTTATCGTGAATTTTGAAACTTTGAGATTTTTCCCATCCATAAACTGCATTAAATGCATAATCAATAATAAGCATAATCAAGGCACTTTCATTATTTCCAAATTGCTACAGTATGAAGCCTTACAATTTGAAATCTATGGGAGCGTAAATTACTGTTTTACATGAAATATTTTCTCCAGAAAGAAAAATATTATAGGAAATACTGTGAAAATTTCCTTGATCCATTAAATATCACTTGAGAAATATTGAATTAAAAAGAATAACTATTGCTAATTATTAAAAGAATAAATATTGCTTATATTTCCCTTTTAACTGTATATAAAAGTGAAACAAATCTCACCTCTTTCTAAATCTGTACCTCCACCGGATGATGAACAAACGCCTGAAAGTAGAGAAAAGCTGATTAATCTAATGTGACCATTAACTGATTGATGAAGATGTAAAAGCTTTGTGATCATTCTTACCTGTCTCCTCGCAGTCATCTAAGCCGAATTTTAAGCTGCTGTAGTAATTTTGGCCTGAATATCGGACAGCCGACGTTTTAAGAAAAGGTGAATCGGTAATGTTGAACACGTTGTGCTTTGTGAAGTCAGTTGCCAGGCATGAGTTTCCCACTTGGTAAATATTCGGCTTCACTTCAGTTTCTGTAAAACACAAGAAGAAAATCCCAAATACGTCAGTCTCTTAAACAATAAATGTAGGTTTAATAAAGACAAACAAATTGCCGGATATTGAAAAGTGCTGGAAAAAGCCAGCTTAGTTGGATTTGAAAGTATGCTGGATGGCAAATGTTGTCCAAATGATGTTTAACAGAGGCTTTTGAAACTTTACAATAAAAAAAAATATATTTTATTAAATATTAAAACTTGTTAGTCTTAATAATGGGCTCACATGACAACAAACTCAATGAATATTTAAAATATTAATAAAACGACAAATTCTTACCCTATACAGTCAAAGTATCAACTGATTTTTCAAGACCCACAGGCTCATACTTCATCTCAAAAACTCATTTACACTTTCACTATATGTGCATGTTTATTCTGACCAGAAAAAATCATCAATTTATAATATTATAATAGTTACATAACTATTTTCTCTCTCTTGTTTTACCTATAGAGACTAAATGTGCATTTGCTTTGTGTTAGTTAAATTTATAGCATAATGTTTGGAAGTCTAACATTAATCAACTTTAACATGGAAATGTTTAGTTTGTTGTTTTTAATAGTTCGTTATGTCAAGAATTTGTTATAATTTGCGTAATAACAGAATAGTTTGGTCTTTGAATCAAATTAACTTGATTATATGCATCGTATACATATTAGCTGCATGTTAAGTGTAAACTTCCGTGTTTTCAACAACTAAAACATTGGTTAAATAATGTTTTAATCATTATTCATAGTAACAGACATATTAATAGAACAATTAAACACCCTATTCTTAACAGTACTTACACAAATATAGAAAATATTAGACGATCATACTACAGTGTATGAATTTTAAATGATTAAACATTTTTTTGCCGGAAAAATTAGTTCAACCACCTTTTGTCATGCGCAACGCAAAATGCTAACATTGATCAATTTTACCTCGAATTATGTAGCATTTCTGAATTGTTTCTGTAATGGATGAGTTTGGTTTTTATATAATTGCAATCTTCTGCCATATCTGGATTGAGTCAGAACAGCTACATGTCAAGTTGCTTTATAAATCAAAAATAATAATAGGTACTGTATACTATGGCTTTTATCCATTTAATACTACTTACTTGAGTGCACAAATAGTTGTGTCCCTTTTCCAAATATGATTTTGTCAGCAGTGTTCGTCACACAATGATAAATGCACATATAATAATCCTCTTCGTGGCCAAAATTTTACAAGCTCAATGTTACGAACTACTTATAAAACTCTATAATAGCTACTTATAAAACTCAAATGATACCAAAATGTTGACATTCAGCCTCGTTTGTACCTAGCAAATGAATCAACTCCAAATTTGTCGTTATATTGATTTTACATTGCCAAACAGAAATGCATAGAATATAATCTTTTATATAATTTCTATCTCCGGAAATAAAAAATGAGCCATTATTGAAATAAGAGATACAAAAATAAAAGCAATTACTATGATGTTGTTAATCCATGCTGAACATTTGCATAGTTTTTTTAATTTAGCTATTTTTTCTTTATGTAAATGAATGCATTGATGAACAACCTTACGTTCATCAGATTATTTTTAAATGCTGGCTTTATACATTTTTAATTTTACAAACTTTTTTGTGTACCATTTTAATCTATATTGACCCCAATCAAGACAGTTCGACAACAATAAAATAGTTATTCTCTTACTTGATTGCACTGTTAATTTTGTTCCTCTTCCAAAAACAATTTTAACGCTAGTAGTCACACAGATTGATATACGAGTACAAAAACCGTTTGGATGGTACCTACAGTATACATGCTAAAAAGATCAGACGTAGCAGTAATTATATATAAATATGTAATATAATATCACTTTGAGTGAAGTGTGATGAAAGTGGACACTGCTGTAGTCTTTATTAAATAACTTTAATGCCACAATTCATACAGTATAAAATGTCCCTATTTATGACTCTAATATTCAAATATAAAATGATAAGCTAATCTTATTTAAATGGTTCTACTCACTTGGTTGTACATACACTTGTGTCCCAGTCGCAAATATAATTTTGCCGATATTGTCATTCACACAGTGGTTAGTCGAGGGATAATAACTTCAACATTTTCCGTGTCACAACAATGATTATTTACTGCTATCAAATGTATTTATGGTGAATTAAAACAAAGTGATATAGACACACATTTCTAAAATTTACTTGTATGCAACCCATTTGACAGCAAGAAATATTTAACAACCTAAAAATGGTCAAATTTAGTGTGATCACTTAATATTTTATATATTTTATAAGTACTTGCCAGAATAATGTTTCATTTTTACAAAAATATGTCTTTTACAGTGAATGATAATGAAACTTTAATTCACAAATGTTTTAGTTGTTAAGAACACAAAAGTAGACATTTGTATTTCATATTTATTTGGTGAGTTATAAAATGTGAATTTGTGATTATGAAAGTGTGAAATTTACTTGATTTACTAAATATAGTTTTTTTTTAATTACTCCATGTTTCTTAGACACATTTTGACCTTTATATTTTTCACTTGACTTTTTTATTTTGTTTGTTTATAAGTGCAAAATCACTGAGCTGAATCGTTTATTTAATTCGATGCTGCAATTTTGATAAATCGATTGTTTTTTAAACCGAATTTGTTTATTAACAAATTATTATTATTATTATTGACACAGACACATGAAATACGTTCAAAATTCTTTCAAAAATGAATAAACTTACTAATTTGTACTACAACTTTTGTCCCCGTGCCAAAGAAAAGCTTAAATCCATCATTCACACAGTCTTCAGCCTAATACGAAAAACTAGCAAAACCTGACAACCTCATGAACAATTCTGTCATGATTCTCTAAAATAAAAATAATTTTGTAACATGTGGCCTTACAAATATTGATAAATAATGTATGTCTCAGTGAAGCCTTTATGTAACTATTTTTAACTATTTACTAAAATTCAAAAGTTCTGTTCTAATCTAAAGTTACAGCTTTATCTTTGATTAAAATGAACGAATCTCTTACTTGATTGTACTGTTAATTTTGTTCCTCTTCCAAAGAAAATTTTGATATTATTATTCCCACAGGCTGATCTATCAGCACAAAAACCAGTCGCGTGGTGTCTACTGTATATACACTTGACAGATTACATAAAGCATGTAATTATGATCTTTCAATATGATTTCGACAGTTACCTTTGTAATAAAAATTTGCACTCGCTGTTCCTGTAAAGCACTTTGAATTACCATTGTGTATGGAATGTGCTATATAAATAAACTTGCTTTGTCTTTCCTCAGAAATGACTTTTCAACAGCAATTATTGCATTTCTTTGGTCAAATAAATGTCTTGTGTCGTTTAGCTATAAACATCTAATGTTTAAACCTTTTAATAATTAAATACGTTTTTATTTAGGCAGCTCTGTCTATGGTGGACATTCCTGCAGGATATTTTTAAATCTGATGTTTGCATGAATTATTTCCAAACATAAATGAGATTTTACTTACTCGTCTGTACAAACAACCGAGTTCCCTTCGCAAATATCATTTTGCCGTAGTTGTCATTCACACAGTGACTGTCTGTGTTATAAATACTACACTAATCGACAAGTCAAATCATCAGTGTTCATTTTGATGCGAGACATTCAGCAATACGGTTACAATTGTAATAACAGGTAGAACAAATGTATGGATTTAAAATCAGATAAACGTGTGAAAAAAATAGCTTTATCGCTAGTGAAATATCAGCTTAAATACACAAAACCATAACTTACTGGATAACACAACAAGCTGCGACCCCTGTCCAAATATTAGTTTGTTTGTGTTTTGATTCACACAGTTATACACTTCAGCACAGAAACACATTCAAGACACTATTTTCTATGACGAGTTTTGACGTTACAGCAAATTTGACTGATAATTAGATTAAATCACACTTGTATTGTATATGTATTTGCATATATCATCATTTAAATGGTTGTACTCACTTGTTTGTACATATAGTCGGGTGCCATTCGTAAATATTATTTTACCAGTATTGCCATTCACACAGTGGTTAGTGGTGGAATAAAAACTTTAACATCCTCCATCATGTTAGACTCAATAGCTATAATGATTTTCTTCACTTAATTAAATCAATCCTCAATTAAAAATAATAATAACTGCTTTAGCGACAAGTAGGAAGTGCAACTTTGATGTAAATGTACATTCTTATAATGTATTTCTGATAATTTTTTGTCTTTATAATGTCTGCAAATTTTTAAAATGGACATCTTTCAAAATGCTTGACCAATGTGTACATATTGAATATTCTCAACTATTACTGATGTATACAGAAGAACTTTCTGGAATGTAGTTTTTTCAACTTTCATGCAGTGGTTTTGTCTGACATTTTTATTCCTGTGCATTTAAGGCCTTTATACTTGATATTTTTTATTTGTCTGTTTTGTTTTATGAGAAATACATCATTTGAATAGTTTAAATGATGATCAGTTGTGTAATTACGTTTTCACTGTAACAAAAGTAATTCTTTACTTGCGTTGAAATCATAGTTGAAATGGTGAACAAAATGCGTGCACCACAAAATACGTTCAATTAAAACATTAAGCAAAAACTTACTGATTTGTACAAGAAGTTTTGTCCCAGCACCAAAGAAAAGTCTACGTCCGTCATTCACACAGTCTTTAGCCACATACCAAAAACTAGCAACTAGCAATGCTGCCACGATCCTCTAAAATAAGACTGTAGTGTGTTTAGTTTATTTTAAATATCTGCTTTTTAATGTTTTTAAAACAAAACAATAGATGTTGTTCCTAAAGTTAACAAGCAATAAGTGTCAAGTATTTATCTAAAAATAAAACTTTATATTACTAGAAAAATTAGGGATTTTCCCTAGTTCAACACGTGAGTATAATGAAGCTTTTACTTACTTGTTTGTACAAACAACTGAGTTCCGTTCGCAAATATCACTTTGTAATTGTTGTCAT